TTTTTTTTTTTTTTTTTTTTTTTTTTTTTTTTTTTTTTTTTTTTTTTTTTGAGAAAGTTAACATAAATTGTTGCGAAAAATGGAAAAAAAAAGTAAATAATGCCAGAAGGCATTTGGCAGTGGCGAACTCCAAGCTCCTGTTTGGTATAGAGAGCAAAATTTCGGCTGGGCGACAATGAAAATAATTCAATTAAAACACTTTTCCACTTTGCGCCCTCGCATGCCAAGTTACAATAACGTTCAACAAAATTAACACATAGAGCAAGCTCCCTCCCTCCCCCTCGGGCTCAGCCCCTTGCCCACTCGTCCTTCATGTGTGCATTGCCCGCGGGCGTTTTGCATAAAGTTTACCAGAACGCGGTTGCCTTTCGAGTGGTCAAAGTTTTGGGCAGCCAGGCTGTGCCTTCTCGGCGACATCTATGCCATGTTTACTTTGGTACTTAGCCATTATTGTTCTGGCCTGGCTGTTGTTTAAAGCCGCAAAGTAGCTTTGCAGCCAGAAAATTTAAATTTAGCCCCTGCAAAGTCCCACAAAACAAGAGCCCTGTTTCAGTGTCATCTATGTCTCTATCTGTGTCTCTGTCCGTGTCCGTGTCCATGTCTGTGGTTAGCTGGTGTTTTGTGTATTATTTTAAGATTTGATTGGTTGGGCTGCAGTCATGTTTGGTGTTCGTGCTGGCGTTGGCTTTAGCCTGGCCCTGTTTCCGCCCCTGGTCGTGTTCTTCCATTAAGCCATTTGCATTTTCATTGCCCGTTGTCGAGCTGCCGTCATTCGAAACTGATTAGCATTTGAATATGATAAACTGAAAGAATGATACATGCAGCAAGAGAGATTGTTGCCCAAAGTTAAGATATACTTGCCTAGCATCCAAAATAGTATCCATGATTGGTTGTTTGATCAACCTTACTGCCTTATGTGTAGATGCTCGTGTGCCATACACAAGTCAGGCCATGAGCCAAGGGCTTAAATAAAAACTTAACTCGTTTAATTGGCCACTTGAAAGCCAAAAGCCCATGCGGCAATTTGAACAAAATATTTCCTTCATTTTTATGCGCATTTAACCCTTTAATGCAGACACATGGCGACCATTTGCAGCATTTTAAGTCCATTAAAAATTGTTTTTCCATAATTTTTTACACCGCATTCAAGCGCAGGGCCCAAAACATTCATAGCGCATCGACTGTTTCACTAGCCACCATCCAGCAGCGTTGTCGCTGTCGCTCGTTAAAAATCAATCCCCAAACGTCGAACCCCCCTTATTTCGTCCGCCCACTTAGGACGACCGCATGGAATGCGCATTCAGGCTGGGATCCAAATTGAGAATCGACTATATTGGCGGATTTAAAGGAGGAGTCGGAAGGGGCTGGCAGGAAGGGGATGCAGGGGAAGCAGGTCGGTCCATCGCGTTGTTGCGAAGGTGTCGCGGACTCTGCCCCGTCGCGGTCAATATGCGAGACTATAAGTCTATATAAGCGCCGCCACAGCAGCCATGTATGTAGCTGATATCTTTTGCTAGCATATCTGTGTGTGTGTGTGTTAGTGTCATGTGTCATGTCCATGTGTGCAAGTGTGTGTGTGTCTGGGTGTGTGTGGGCGTGTGGCTGTGTGCGCGTATGTTGCTGTTGTGAATATATGGGAATTTGTTTTGTCATATCGTTTGGATTGCCATTTTTTGCTCTCTTTCTCCCAAGTCGAGCGCTACAAAAAGAGTTGTTAAGAACTTTAGTAGCCTTTGCTCACTGTTGTGTATTTTAATATTTAAATAAAAATTACATTTTTAAATTAAATAAAAACAGAATTATAATCATTCTCTTTTATGGTTAATAATGATTTTTTTTTTTTTAAATTCACAATTAAATTCACAACTATATAAATATATTTCGAATATATTCCTGTTAAGTTACAAAAGATTGATTGTAATGAAACTCTCGAAATTCTAGCTCTTTTGCTTTGAGATGCTGTAAATGTAATATGTAAATGGAGTTGGAAAATAAAGAATTTATATTATAAATATTGTATATATGCAAGATGAGAACAAGTTATATGAGGTGATTAATAAATAATAATTACATATATAAGTAAATCCTTTTCATAATTTTCGACTACTTCTTACTAGATAATAATACCATACTCAAATTATTATCGATCTTATCAAAAGATGTAATTTTTCGCTATTCTCTTTATAACTGAAATGCTCTGCTGCTGATCGCTAAGTAAAGTCGATAGCAAGTGTAGATGCATCAGTATTTAACGTGGCCGAATGATTTTGAACTGACGTGCAGTGAAGCGCAACATCCAATCTACGTAGGGCTATAGATTTGCCTATGGCCGTGGCTCTGTGAGCCCCGGTCGAAAAAGTGTCCAATGTAACGCCACAACAAAGAACGTTAATTGACGCCAAAATGCTGCAAACAAAAAAGAAAAACCGCTTGCAAAATTCAAAAAAAAAAAAAAAAAACAAAACAAAAAAAAAAATGAAACGGAAAGCAGGGGTAAAAAACGAAAATCAGACGGAAAACAAATAAAAAACGAAGCATGTGTAAAAAGAATTTGTCCAGTTGGACATATTCTGTAACAGCGATACGAGCGGCGATAGCGCCAAGCCGCTTTGGGGCTGTCTTGGCTGCACAATTTAAATTCAGCTCGGACTATCGCCCCAAGTGGCTTGATTAACCCAAACGATAGGCGGGGCAGGACCTTGTGAGTGGGCGTTGTTGAATCAGCACACGTGATTAATGGCTTTTAATTATGTCAGAACGCGACGGCAGGATCGAGCGATCCTGCGCTGTGAGTTGTGGGCGGTGCGCTGTATGCAGCGGTATGCCAGTTAACCGTTTGACATTAAAAAATTGACACCGTTCGGGGTGAAATGTTGCCGACATCTATGGCGTTCCGCCTGACAACTGTCTGGCACACGTAACCGAGTTAAAGTTCTCGCTGCCCTGTCGTTCGCTTTGTGGAAGCACACGATACAAGGGAGCAGGCCACGGCAAAGACATAGGCAGGGTACGGGCCTGGCAGGACACGGCAGAGCCCGGTAACAAATTTCAAGCACGGACTTCGTTGGGCAGTTGCACGTCGGGCATTCGCTGCCAGCCGTGATTGTGTGTGGGCGTTTGTCTCGCCTGTCGCATTTAATGAAAGCGTCATAAATTATGTTGCAGTTGACGAAAGCGGCCAGAGCAAGCGAACACCAACTGCGAGGGGGTATTGTACTTAGCATATGAACGTGGGTAACATATGTGCCCGAAGTCGGACGACTTGCTAAATGGAGTTTTGCGCTTGAAGTAATGCTAAAAAGCGGACAACTCAAGCTGAAAATGTAACGAATATTTATGAGGTGACGGTGTTGTGGTATTTCATTCATATTTTTATTGCGCTGCATGTATCATCGCGCACCTACAGCAGAACATGAACCAAGTAGCTAATGTATATCGTAAAGAATAATATTAAAATATTACTTAAGCAACCAGTTTTCGAGTTACGTTTTATGACGAGCTCCGATAGCGTCGCATTTGCCGAATACCTCATTGAAGATGCGCTGTACGTGATGGATCCCATTTTGATCAGCTTGCCATTCGCATCTTCGCCTGGTAAATATGTCAGACGCCGAGGTAAAAACAGTACTAGGTCCTTCTTTGCTTCCTTTGTTCTCCTGTATGCGGGCAGAGACACCAACGCATTCGACGAGGGGCATCCAAGGCACAGCAGAATGAAAAGCAACTGCTGCACTAAGTGCATCGTTGCTCTTCATGCTGCAACTGTCTCAGATCAACTGTTATTTATTTATTTCGCGGAGAGATCTCCCAGCAGATCAACTGGAAGCCCTTCGATGTGACCGAAATATCTGGCAATTGAGAAAAGTTTGTTTAGGAAACAGCTGTTTCGAAATGCGCTGTGTGCTATCTTACCTAAATTATTTACGTTCTCAGCGTAATATGTGTTAAAATAGCTCAATATAGATAATGAATTTATTTGGATAATTGAATAATTGTCTGTCTCGTCATCTATGTATGTAGACAGCTTATGAAATGTGTTTGTGGGATGTCTCGAGTGCTGTACAAGTTTTTAAATCTATTTATAGAGATATCGATAATGTTGATGGGAGAAACTATCGAATGTGTTGCAAGTTGCAACTCTAATCTCCTACTCCCATTGAGAAAGCTCGAGAAATGTACATATGTACATATGTATGTATGAATGTATTTAGGGCGACCACATGGGCTGAAGGCCATTCCGGGACGGTCGAAAACTATTTCTGTACATTGATACTTATTTCATATATACATACATATGTATGCATGTGCATATGTACATATGTATGTATGCTCACACTTTTATTTCAAAACATTTGCATTTTTTTTTATCCATATATTCTTCTTCTCCGTTTACGAGTTTACGTTTGCTGCAATAAACATTACCATCTTATCTGCGCTGCTTTTCTAAAAAAAAAAAAAAAAAAAAAAAAAAAAAAAAAATTGCGAACTTGTTCTTTTGAGTCGCATTTTATCAAAATGCCGATACTTTTATCGAAACAGTTGAAAACCGGGACAATTTCATGTCAGGTCGGAAGACCGGGACATTACCTCCAAAAGCGGGACATGGCCACCCTAAATGTATTCGACTGGAATTAACTTCATATGCACTTTGAAATGAAAATATACTTTTTATCCGTTTCCAAATAAAATAAACTATCGATGGCGTTGCAATTCTAGTCATTAAATCACATATGTACATACATACATATGTATGTATTCGATAAGAATAGGAAAACTTCCATCTTTCTCCTCACATGCAGGAAAACATACGCTCTTTACCCATTTACAATGGGTATGAAAATAAATGCAAAGTTTTCAATGAAAGTTGAGTCGTAGTTGGGCGTGGCGAAGGGCTTACACACATCCACCCGAAAGACATACAGACAGACGAGACGAGACTTTCTGTGTAGCAAATCAAATAATTATAAAAGTTGAGCAACAAGCCGAGGCCTAGCCTTTGGCAATGTTTGGCCAAAAACTTGAGGCACACGAACAAACTTTGCTCAAAGGTGCAGCCAAAACTTTCGCCAGCCAACTAGCAAAAATTCATTTAGGCGCATTTAGGTGGCTGCTAGGTGAAAGGACCGACGAATCCGTGCTTAGCTGCTGTTGCTGTTGCTGCTGCAATATGCCAACTCCAAACATTTTTAAAGCTCAACTGCAATTTAAGCAGACAAATCATATTTTGGACACAATTTTTGTGCAGCCTCAGCGACGCCGGCGAAAGTTTTGCCCAGCAGCGTTGGCAAAAAAGTTTTGTAGAAGCCGCTGCCTTCGCCACCGCCGACGCCGATGTCGACGCCTCGGCCGGAACAGGCTTCCTGTGTGGCTCTCTCAATCCTATCTGCCAATTCGAGTTATAGAACTCCAGCGAAGCATGTGAAATCCGCTACAGCCTTGGAACAACTACGCTTTGATGGATTTTCAGCTCGAAACGAGAACGCAGCGAGCCGAGAACTTCGAGTCGGTGTCCAGCCCACGACCACTGTTTTCATAAACTTTGTTGTCTAATTTCGTCATATTTTTTATTTCTATACATGAATTAAAATTAAGCACTATTAAGCATTGCGATTTTAAACGAATTTTCAACCTATGCGTTTTTCTTAGGGGAGTTTATTCAGCTGCCTCAGAGGCTTCGGCCTCCTTTTGAACTGGTTCGGCCTCCGTTTAGGCCTAAACCTTAGTATTGGCCTCCTGCTTGGCCTTTTGGGTGTCCTCTTGATCGGCCTTGGACGGTTCTTCGACCCGAATTTAGCTCCATTGTCGGGATTGGAGGGTGTTAAAGGACTTGCTTCCTCACTAATTTCTTCTTCGATATCTTTAATTGCTTGATTAAATTTTTCATTCATAATTTCGGGGATTTTACCTTTAATATGTTCATCATTACAAAACAATTATCTTCCTTGCGAGCACTAACAGCCTTACCATCATCTTCCTTCGAAGCAGAAATATCTTCATAGTCCTTATTGTCCTCATAGTCCTCATAGTCATCATATTCCTCGCATCTAGCATCTTGGGTCATAAGGAGGACACCAGAAAGACCAAGTAGCAGCAGCAGCGATAATCTCATTGCAAAATTAATGATTACTTATGGTTAGTGGAGCTGCTTATATACGAAATTATGTTCAAGTGTAAGAAACAGTTGGTTTGCTCAAGTGTTCACTTAGAATGATTTATACCTTGTACTCTTGATAAATGTAGGTCATAGAAGGTTAGAGACCGGTGTGGTAGAGGTAGAGACAGGTGTGGACGAGTAAATTAAGGTATTACAAACCTTGATATGAAGATTTTATCAGATGCTTGATAAGGTTTTCTGTAGCTTATAATTGCCGCAAAAGTACCTATTCTTGGACAAGTGTAACTTGTCCCACCCAAATTTCCACCCTTTGCTCTCGGAACTGACGTTAACAAATAAAACGAGCGATCGCCTCAAGTTTCATATTTGCTTTGATTATATTGTATGCATTGCTTTCAGTCATAATTATTCCCTGAACCCATTGAAAATGGGAAATCAGAGTTTAATGGTTTTGTGGAAAAGTCTGTAACGGGCAGACGAAGGCGTGGCAGACACCCACAGAGTATATATATTATTAATCAGGGCGAGCTGAGTCGATTTAGCCCTGTCCGTCTGTTTGTCCGTCCGGCCGTCCATATTTATGAACGCGTCGATCTCAGAAGACATAAGAGCTAGAGCTTTAAATTGTTCCTAGGTCCGTGTACATTACGCGCATATCGAGTTTTTCTCTGTAAATACTCCCGATAACTTATTATCGATTAAAAACATTATCGAAAGCTAGCTATTTAGTTATAACTCCTACACCTCAGGAGCTAGAGCTTCCAAATTTTAACAAATGTAAAATGTAGACTTATATGTATTTTATATAATACTAGCTGGCCCAACAAACGTTGCATTGCCCTATCCATTATTTCTAGGTAAAAAATTGTTGAAAGCTATGTTGTTCAGGTTGGGATACACTCTGATTAATTTATTAATCGGATTTTCATTGAAGCACCTTGTGGTAAACAACATTCTTTGTTTTTTGGTCAGGTGCAAGAACAAATAATGCTGATGGTTTGCCAACAATAGGTTGCAATGATCCAATGCGATGGAAAATCTGGCCTTGAATCTATAAATTCAAAACTATAGTTATGGTTAGATTTACAAACACTTTTTACAGAAATCTAACAAACTTCATTATTCCAAATTTTTTTTTTTTTTTTTTTTTTACAACTGTAGAAAAGAAAATTAACGTAGATTACCTTAAATGTCGGATTTTATCCGTCTCCAATAATTGGCATTGTATTTTTGAGTGTTCGCTAGAAAATGTGATTCTAGTGTTTCGCCATAAAGCAGGGAACACAATGGCTCTGGTGGCGGGACCACTAATGGCAATGTCACTTTACCACTAAGGCAG